AGGTATGCATGTTATTTTTTTTTTTTCCTTAGTTTTAATTTTCTTATTTTTTAGGTTATTTTATTTTATTGTCTATTGTATATACTTTTGATTATTATTTTGTTCTATTTATTTTATTTTTTTGTACATATGGTGTGAATGTCATCCTACCTCACTATAACCAATGTCCAACAGACAGATTGTTATAATACTCAATAAAGAAATTAAAAAAAAAAAAAAAAAAAAAAAAAAAAAAAAAAAAAAAAAAAAAAAAAAAAAAAAAAAAATACACACATGCTTTTATACAATCCATCCACTAACTAGATTAACAGTTTGAAATTAATTATATTTTTAAAAACATGGTAAATCTACTATATATTCATTTATTTAATACATTCTGAGTAATATCTAGTTTTATACTCAAAAGTACCAATAAATCAATAAAGTACCGATACTCGAGTTCATATATTTATTTTTTAAAAATCTCTTTTGTATCTTTTTTATGTAATTAAAGTATATATCCACACCTAAAATGTGTTTTGAATTTTATAAAAATGTTTACTGTAATTCGCCTAGGGATGCTTTCTAACGAACAACAGTATGAATAATTTATAACTTTTACGACTCATATTTAGAGAGAGAAACTCTTTATTTTAAGTAGTACTGGCATATAGAATATTAATGTTAATACAGAGCATACTTATAAATTCCTTTTTAGATATAACATTAAGAAACATTTTTTTTTCCTCCCTTTTAATATAACAATCTAACAGGTACTAATCTTACAGCATAGATGCAGAATAGTAATATACCATTACATTATCACTATTATATAATACATTTTCGGGTAGGACTAATATAAACTTTGGAATTATAAAATAACCAAATTCTCAAAATATTATGTAATTTAAAAATATGCCTTCAAATCCATAAAATAGCCTGGAAGGAGTTTTAAGTGATGAAGGAGTTTCGGGTTAACAGAAAAAAAAATTCCAATGAAGCATTAATATTACTTTATTGGTTTGCTGTAAAGACAATACGTAATCGTAAGACAGACGTCCAGATCTTAGCCAAGGTCGTTGTTCCGGTGATATTCTAAAAGAAGTTGAAGACCGTTCACCAAACGTATCCTCCCCATCCAGCAGACCATCCGGTGATTGGTTGAGCCCAGGAAGAGGAGTAAGCGTAGGGGTAGCCGCTCAAGAGGACCTGCTTCTTCTGCCTTACCAACTCTTCCTCAGGGAAGGCCATGACGCAGGCGATGGCCAAGGCGACGAAGAACTATAAAGAGGCCATAATATAAAATCATAATAAACTATGTGTAATTATAATCAATTCAACTATATGATAATTAATTGTATACTCACAAGAAATTTGATGGAAATCATGTTTATAGTTATCTGCTCTTTTGAGAACTGATGCTTTGTCAGAGAAACCGTTCCATATTTATACGCGCAAATGGATGTTGGAGGGGATGATGTAATTACTGTCAGATAATAAGTAGAAGTGGTACTGGTTTTGGGTGTGAACTCGAAAAAATTTGTTTACAAACACAGAGGCCGTCGATACGCCCTTGCAATCGATCAAGGAAAACAATGCGCTACATTGAAAAAAAATCGATATAACCGCTTTTGCCGATGCTCAAAATACATTATGCAATTTTCAGTACGTTTTCCTCACCTCGGGAGTAGACAATTTTTTTTCAGAATATTTATTGAATAATATTTAAATAGAGCAAAAAATACAAGGAAATTTGGAAGAATTACTTGTTACTATCTCATCTAATAATAGAAACTTTTTACAATTGACATATGAACGAAATATTTGGTAACAGACTAAAACAATCTTACTCTTTGAAATAAGAGACTTGTATTATAAAAAACACAATGATAACATGGAAGAAAATTCATATTACAATACTATAAATATTATATTTACTGATAATAAGATAAATTAATAGTATCTATTACAAATTTTAATATTATTTTAAAAAGATGCTCTCCACTGGGTTTAGCCCCAGTGACGCGGTTGAGAGAAAAGTGCAGGGATCTCCTGGAGTCATGCTTTTCCCTCCACAGTTGGAGGGACAAGTCTAATTCGTATTTCTCTGGCCAGATTGTAAATATTGTATATAGGCATGTATGTGTTCTTTTTATTTATTTATTTTTAGGTTATTTTATTCTTATTTATTGTACATATGTTATTTTTGTGTATAATTTATTTTATTTATTGTACATAGAGTGTGAATGTGATCTCTGAACACTATTATAAATGAGACAGATTGTAATATTTTTAAAAATTAAAAAAAAAAGATACAAAAATAAATTTATAAGAATTCCAGCAACAAATTGAAAATGTATTCTTTCAACTTGAAGAATTGTTATGTCTATTAGATTCTTATCAGTTTTATGAGAGTTAAGCATGATACAAAAAATAAACGTTTAACAGACGAAAAAAATATTTATATAAAATAATATTGTTTTAAGTAAAAAAAAAAAGAAAAGGATTCTATTAATATATAATAACATTTCATTTTCTCTATATATGTTTTTAGTCCGTGGTACAGACCCCTTTTTATCAAATTATTAAAGTCCGTCTGAAACTTCGCAAATAGCTTCATCTCATCGTAATTTTATTTACATAACTCTCGGAATCTATCGGCGTTTTCTATCTGGTGGTCAGTAAACTTTGTCTGTTTAATTAGGTACCAAAAAATCATAAATAGCCATTTTTTTTTCAGCTTAGATCATATTTGATCACAAAATCGATAAAACAGATGGCCTATAAAAATCTCGGACCCCCTGGTCTATATAACCTCGTTCTTTTGACAATTTGGGAGTGTAGATCACACCAAACGGCTCAATATTTTTGATGGGCACCTTTTTTTTCGAACTTGTGCTCACATTATCTTACGATTCCAACGGAAAGCAAACGAGTTTTTAGTAACTAATTAAAGAGACAAAGTTTGCCGATCTCCAGATTGAAAACGCCCAAATTCCGAGATTCTAAAGGTTACGATGAGATGAAGCTTTTTACGAAGTTCCGGTAGACGTTAATAATTTGATAAAAAGGGGTCTGTAGCACGAACTATTATCTTTTAAAATATAATAAATCAATTTGATAAATATTCACGTTGTCAACATGCTGATTCCATGCTTTTAAATGTACTATAATTCAAAAAACAACTGAATATTTTATATTATATATTTAAATCTGATGTTAGTTGAACTTCATAAATATGTTTGTATGTAATGTTTGTATAACTACGAATTCTTATTTTTTATGTCAAAAAAATATGTTAAATAATGTTAAAAATAACATGTTAAATAATAATAATAAAAAATGTTAAATAAACAACTTGCTCCATACTAGAGGTGGACATCTATAAGTTTCGTAAAGTTACGAAAAAGCTAAATTTTGTTAAGCTGTTTAAATTACAATTGGTTATAAAGCATAACAACCAATTTTGATGAATTATTATTTTTTAAATAATTACTTAATTATTTTTTCATAGATAAGGCACTGGTACATAAAATTTAATATATTGCATATTTGCATATTAATGGTAGCTTCCATTCCTATCATCTCAATTTCGCTAAATAGTAATTAAACATCAAACAGAAAAAGAAAAAAAAAAAACCTAGTAAAATTAATATTATGTACAACGTAAAATAAATATAAAATAATGTATTTATTCCACTTGAATGTATTTATTTCCATTCATTCTACTTGAACCACGGTTAGTAAGAGAAAATATTGCAATTTTTTATAGATGGATTATATACATTATTTTTAGTTTGTATAACTTTTTAAATATTTCATTTTTAATATGTACATTGTAATATTAGTTATGATTCATGTACTATAGTTCACTATAGTCTATTATTTACCATTATCGGTCGTAATATATCATATCTCTGAGTGTATTTTAAAATTTTCAGCCCTGATGATGACCCACATGTATGGGTTGAACCGTTGACACAAATAAAAAATTAAAACATTTGTTTACAATGACTGCGTCCTGAATATTTATCACCCATGATATGTAAAACAGTCGACTGGCTTCCTTCAATAATAAAAAAAATAAATTACATTACTACTTGTACTTCATAAAGATTTATTTAAAAAAAAAATCAATATTATAATATTAAAAAATCAAGTTAAAAACATTGTTTAGGAATTATATTTCTTAATTTTAATTATTCAATTACTACGAAGGTTCTCCTAGGTAATATTTTGTCTACTAGAATTTCCTTGAACTTATCTATCATTCAACAATAAAGAAGTAAACAATACTGTTTTCCTTACTAAGGCTATATAATTTTGATATGGCTACCTACATTTAAATATAATTGTACAACAAAATATAATTTTATTTATGTTTATTATTATTTATTAATTAATTTTTTTTTGGAGAACAGGGCTTCAGCTTGAGACAATTATAAACGTAAAAAATAATTATAATTTAAAAAGAAAACGATTAATAATGGGCAATATCGAAATAGTTTTAGTTATTGTCAAATGAAAATTTTTTTATTATCTTTAATGGAGTTCTCGGAGGGGAAGTTTACATATGAAGATCACATTTACATTTATAATTTTCAATAAATAAATAAAGCATTATCATTATATTATTATTTTAATGTTGTTTTGCAGATTATAATTGGAATACAAGGAAAGCAAAAGACAAACCAGCTCAAGGTGCAATTTTCTTTGTTTAAACCAACCAGTTACAAGTGCACACCCCAAAAAAAAAAAACAAAAAAAAAACTACAGTTCCCCACTCAAATACGTTCTTGTACCTGTATATAAAGCACGGTGATTCCAATATCAAGTATCAGTTCTCAACAGAGCAGATAACTACAAACATGATTTCTATCAAATTTCTTGTGAGTAAACTTAAATTCAATTATTACACGAATTCATTAATCATGTTTATAAAATAATTAAATTTCACGAAGTTTTCAATCAATTAATTTATTTTTCAATAGTTCTTCGTCGCCTTGGCCATCGCCTGCGTCATGGCCTTCCCTGAGGAAGAGTTGGTAAGGCAGAAGAAGCAGGTCCTCCTGAGCGGCTACCCCTACGCTTACTCCTCTTCCTGGGCTCAACCCATCACCGGATGGTCTGCCGGATGGGGAGGATACATTTGGTGAACGGTCTTTAACTTCTTTTAGAATATCACCCGAACAACGACCTTGGCTGGGATCTGGATGTCCGTCTTACGATAATGTAATGTCTTTGTAGCAAACCAATAAAGTTATATTGTTACTTCATTGGAAAAATGTGTTTTTTCATGTTACCTGAATATTTATTTTATTTTAATCTATCATATTATTTAGATGATGCCCATGGATAGTTGATTTTCATATTTCATATTTTCATTTTAGTTATTCATTCTTTCTTTCTGTTAGCATTAATTCTCCTATCAAACAAATTCTTACTGTATAGAACATAGCTTCGTAAATCTACATTTTTAATAAATAGGATAATAAAAATAATTTCGTTTATTCATTCATTCAGTGAGATTAATGATTAAGTTTAAATACATTGGTTAAAAGCATCATTATTGAAAGAAATTCAAATATCTATACGTTTTTATATTATGCACTTGTATGACAGTTTATTAAACAAAGCCAATGAATTAAAAATAGAAAAAAAAAATCAACTATCAAAAACACATTGATAATCCTTAACCTTCAATGGAACATTAGTTAATTCTACTTTTCCATGCACTTAATATTTAAATTATTTACTTCTCTCATATTAATTATATAATTTTTCCCATTGCGAACAATCCTTAATATAATTAAATAGTAATGTTCACAAATCATTTTACTTCTTATTATATTTTCATTTCTTTCATTTTAAGGCCTATAAATAAATAAATAAAAACCGGTGTTTTTATTGTTTCTAAGGATCATCTTTTCTTTAAACGAGCTTACATTTGGTGACTGGAGTTCACATGTTATAATTTAAAAACGTAAAATATTATGATTGATAATGTATTTAGTTGAGATCACTATAAATACATAGATTAAAATTATATATACAAATGGACGAACGAAAAACAAAGTTATTTCTCTATTTTGGGAAGGAGGGGAATTATTTCTCTTTTTTAATCTGCCAGTGCATTCATGTATATGTTATCATAATAAAAGCATATATTGAATAATTTCTATTCGTTTTCATATTTTAATTCATTATTAATTTGTGATATCATTCTTTCTCCTTAAAAAAATATAAATATTACCACATATAAATTTATTTTTTCTTAAGGAATGAAAGTTAATGAAGCTTATTATATACAGCAGTGATCTTTGTGAAAAACACCTCGAACAGAATCAACTCATTTTATTTGCACTTTCCTTGTTTTTATTTTTATTTGTAATCCTTAAGGACGTCATTATCATTAGCTTTCTTTTCAGCCCTTGAAAGAAATCGTTGCATTTTTTTTTTTATCATTATTTCTTTTTCCTTTAAATAAGTAATTAAAATCTATTTCTGTTGGGTGATCAAATGTTGAAATATGAATATTTTTGAAAAAACAAAAACACAATTTAGAGTGAGAAAAATATTCAATTTTTTTATTAGAAGTGAATAGATCTATTCGTCAATGTGTAAAAAACAAAATAACTATTTTTAAATTTAAAAAACATTGCTACGTTTATGGTTAGAACAACTATAATTCAAATATTCATTTATATGCAGTTGCTTTTTGTACAGTAGCGTTCTTTCTTGAAGTCATATTGTGGATATATATGTATTATATATATATAATTTTGAATATCTATGTATATATTGTGTATATTTATATTAGGTATTTCCTAATAAAACACTCACTGATAATTTTTACACTTTTAATTATCAAAACACATTACATTATAATCAACAAAGGCAGTAAGTAATACATTGTACAGCAATCTACATACGGTTAAACTCAATCACTCATAACACACCCAGAGGTTATAATAGTTAACACACAGAGGTTCAAAAATAATCGATTTTATAATAAATTATGTTTTCACTTTAACAGCAGATACCATACAACTGATTCTGTAAGCAATTGTGGCAATATTTGAAATTTTATTGCAGGTTTACTCCAACAACGGTTTCTTCCGATTCAGCATTTAAGAGATAATTTTTTTAATGACTTTTTATTTTTCCATGTTTATTATTTTTTTAGTTATTGCAACTGTAATCAGTAGCCTGCAAATACGGAATAGCAAATAATGGAGAAAAATACGAAGTATAATACGTGAAAGAATGGAGAAATAAAATACGAAATTATACTAATAAATCATAAAGAAATAATCAGGTTTTTATTCTCTTCTTTAAAAAAAAATCAACTTTAAGCTGCGATTGTTTGCACTAAAAGTAGCGAAATATAAATTGTATGATGTAAATTTTGTCTATTTCAATATCACTCCATGAACGGATTATTAATTAAAATATTAAACAGAAGCATATAATAGATAATTTTATATACATAAGGCAACATTTTTTTTTCTTACATCTTTATTAAAAATTAATCATAATCCATGATTAAGCCACTATTTTTATAATTATATTCATCACAATAAACAAATCAATGATCTTTATATAATTCAGCTTAAATATTTACAATGTTACATGGAAGTAAACTTTATTTACATATTTTATAACAGATTACTGACTAAAATAAATTGAGACAATTACATCTTACTCATTTATCTATTCAACTCCGCACCTCCATTTAATGAAGCAACATATCGCAAATCATATGCAATAATATTCATATTTGTATTTGAGACACACAGCTGTGTTTTGATTTCAAGAAGCTTAGAAAACAAAATGGGAGTGGGGTAGCTCAGTGATAGTGCGCTGAGCTTCCAATGCTCAAAGTCCCAGGTTCGAATCCCGCCTTAAAGCAGATACATTATTTATTATGTTTCATCGGCCTACAATCGACACTGAGGTCGAGAGACCGTCCTGAGGCACACCCAGCCTCAATAAAGTGAGTACTCTTAATTCAATAATTGATTAAAGTGGAAAACCTGGCAGTTGAGCGTGATCTTGGTCAAATCACCTCCTTGCGAAACCGTTGACCACGACACAGTACTTTCTCCATATAGTACTGAACTCGAGATCCTTCGTGGGTTGTAGTGGTATAGGTTTTTAAAAAAAAAAAAATCATAGCTGACAAAGTGAGTATTTTTTTTATTTTTCAATATGTATAATAAAACATGAACACAACGATAACAACTGATTATAATGCTAAATTTTTAAAACACAGTATCTATTATTAATAAATACATGCCTTTTTTTCTCCCCCCCCCCTACATTATATTACCATGAGTGACTGGAAAATGATCATTAACAATTATATGCTTAAGAGGAAATATGGACTAATCATCTCTTGTAGTAATAATATTATTATATTATTATTATTTTATATATTCTTTTTTTACTATTAACTTTGAAGAAAAAAGTTAAATAAAGCAAGGCCAAAGCCGATATAAAGTATTCATCAATACAACTTTTATTCTTATTGCTTCAATCTGATCTTAGGTGGCGGTATATCATTTAACGTGTTTACTTCTTCTTCATTCTTGAAATATTTTGAACTACGCCTAAATATGTCCTTCAGCATATATTTTAGGCCTGGACCAAACCGTGTGTATATAAGCTGCAAGGGGTACCCGTGTATTGCATCATTCCAGTTTAGGAACGACACAGAACAACATGCCCTCTTTCAAGATTCTTGTAAGTACTCTGAATTATTTTATATTCATAATAACTTTATAATGTATGTGATAAATTTTATACAAATATTATAATTGTAAACTTACTATTTTTTGACCCTACAGTATAGGATGTCCTATTTCTGAATAACAAACTTTTGTAGGAAACAAACTAATTTCTTCACCTGCATTATAAGGTTTATATTTTAAAAGTTTCTTGATATTTAAAACTTGTTATTTTTTAATGTTCAAAACATTGTGTTAATATTGGCTTCTTTACTCTATATTGTCTATACGCATGACATGCCTACCACCTCTAAAACATTGACTGCTACTTACGCTGACGATATAATTTTAACAAAACACCATGACCCCAGACTAGCCTCATTAAATTTTCAAAATCACTTACTAAATTTACAAAATTGGTATTCATTTTAGAAAATTAGTTTAAATCATGACAAATCACAACACATAACATTTACGCTTCGACGAGACAATTGCCCACCAGTTTATATCAGCAACAATCCAATTCCTCAGACGGAAACTGTACGCTACCTCGGACTAATATTTGACAGAAGGATGACCTGGAGCCCACATGTCAAAATGAAAAGTTTTGACACTTTTTCTAAATCAAAATTGAAAATCATAAAAAACTAAATAATTACACTTATCTACTCAAATCCATTTGGACTCACTTAAAAAAACTACATTATTTCCAATCTAACATTTTAAGACTAACAACTGCAGCACACTGGTATGTCAACAACAAAACTTTATATACTGGCCTAGGACAACCAACCATTGCCCAGCACATAGGTACTCTCTACTCCCGATTTCATCTTAAACTACACGGACGTCACAATGGACTTATCAATTACATGTCCACGGCTGAAATGCTTATCAGGAGACGACTAAAAAGGAGCGGGATCAGAGATCTCCTTTCCTGATTTCAGGATGTAAACAGACCAGAGGAGAGGTGCTGCTGGGTACAATTCTTCTTCATGCCTATCATGACATTTTCTACTTAACAACAAATCTGCTAATTGCCACCACCATGAGAACAGGTGCCGATAAAGATTTGAAGACCAAAAAAAAAAGATTATTAATATCAGTGCATAAATGTATTAATTTATTTTTTATTCTTTTGTAATGTTTGCGGATTTAATACATGATTCAGTGTAGGGAATAATCTTCATAAAAAAAATCTAGCGAACCCGTATGAACAGTAACATGGATTAAAAATAAAAATAAAAAATATTATATCAGAAACATCTTCATATTTTTTTCGTTTGTCTTTAGTGTTACCATGACAAGCAATAGAGTTTTATTTTATCAAAAAAAAACATCCAATTTACGTTAGAGAATATCCATTGCAATAGAGCACATTCATTATTCGGACTTAGGACTTGATAAATAAAGTGAGGTGTTCTGTAGACTGAAGTTTAAATAACTACATTTCAAAGTATATAGAAAGTTGTATGTAGGGCACTTTAACTTAAGACGACACTGTTTATTTGTATCCCCAAGTTCTGAGAAGTTTCGGAATTATACTTAATAATATCCAATATCTACTCGAGAAATAAAAATATTATCTATAAATTGACCAAAAAGTTTTTACAAATTTAGTTGAAACATGTCGATAAGGTTTTCTGAACTCATCTTCTTCTATTGCCAACAAAGAATACGCAGCTGTCTTTAGCTCAAGAAGCCTGTCACACTGTCTTCTGCCATGTTATATTTATTCTCAGCTTTCGGAAGTCACTGCTAACGAGGCTAACAACCATCTAGTTTTGCATCTACCTCCGGGCGCATCTCATATGGATCATACACATGTAGTCTTTCGACCGCTCTATTATATGGATATGGCCCAAGCATTCAAGCCACTGAACATTTACAAACATGGATGTTGTCAGTTCTTGAAAGATCTCGAATATTTCCTAGTTCGCCTCTACTCTCCGTCTTCCTGGCTCTTGCATTTGCCTGAAGACTTTTGTTTTAAACATCCAGTCATGTCATCAAAGGTTTAAGCGACGTCTTATGCAACCTTATCTTAGAATTTCTGCTCAGCAGTCTACCTCTGTCTAAATTAATCAGAGTATGCTTTATTACCTGTAACTAACCTTGCTCTTATTTCATCACTTTTATTCACTAGCGGATCCAGGATTTAATTTGGGGGGGGGCTTCAGCCCGAAACCTTTTTTTTCATAAAAATAACGATAATTACTTTGGAAAAACAAAAAGAAACTTACTACCTATATGAAATGGTGTTTAAATTATTCCTTAAGTACTTTTAAATGTAATTACACGAACAATAATACTTTAAGAGGTATTTTTTAATTTTCTTTTCCCATAAAACATGGTTATATTTTTCCATTTTGGGGGGCTTCAGCCCGAAAGCCCCCCGTAGATCCGCCCGTGCTTTTATTTGCTTCTATGCTGAAGAGGAAGACGAGTTAGCTCAAATTTTTAACCACTTCAAAAGTGTAGTTGTACATGTACACTGAGGGAGCACGGGTTTCTTTCTACAAATACATATTTTTGAAAAACGTTTAAACTTGAAAGATGAGTAATTTATTGTTTATAAACTCATGCAACCAATCAATATATTCTACCATTAAAGATTAGTAATCAACCCTCATTGTTTACTTATATTGTTTGTTTATGTTGCAATTAATTCTTATTTTTCTAGCAGAACTGACTTTAAATATGCCATTATTACATACTACGGTTTCACTTTTGCCTCACTAGTTGGCCTTAAATAGCCAATTGACATTATGAGACGTTCCAGTTTACAGGTCGTCGTCAATTCTTGGTGAGAGGGCGTAAAGTTGAGGAATTTATCCGAAGCCTCAATTGAATTAATGATATAATTAGAAGGTTGTTCTTGGGCGCAGCTGCAACAATCAAATAACATATACCGAATTGAAGCATAATTAATAAAATTTAAAAAAATATTGATCAATTTAAATAGTATAATATTTACTTGTAGTAACTATGCCCTTAATATAGGTATTTTTTATTTTATTTTAACAACGCTCTCAATTTATTTCGTAGTTCTTGTTCGCCCTGGTAGTGGCTTGCACCCTGGCATTCCCCGCAGAGGAAGCTAAGGAAGCAAAGGAAGAAGCGAAGATCCCGCTGATCCTGAGCCCATGGGGTGTGCACATCGCATCTCCTCTTATCGCACCATGGCACAGCTCCGGAGGCCTCGTCTTGGTTTAATCAGATGTCTCTTTTCTATGTATCTTATATATCTATAGGCAACACTAACACTTATTTTACGCATTAAATACTAATCCACAATGTACATAGTATGTTTGAATTGTGAAATACATATATTTTTTACTTAAAATAATCAAGTTCGATTTTCTCCTCCTCGTCATTTTTAATATTTATATAATATTTAACAGAAATAAAACAGAAAGAAGAGTTTTGATGAAGTGATTCTAGTGACACGAATACTCAAGAATTTCTCTGAACTTTTTCTAATTCGTTATAAGTTGAGGCCGTGATGGAAAAGAATTTTAAGGCATCATAAACTCCGTACCCTCGAGACTAACGGTTCCTGTTCGGATTCAGTCTGAACATTTGAAATTTACTTCGTGGCAGACCCACTGAATTAGTGTGGCCCAAAATCGGCCTTAGTCTTGCACTTTGTAAGACCAAGGTTAGTAAAAAAAAATTGTGAATAAAAATTAAGGCAAAATAGTAACTAATACTTAACAATTTTAGTCAATATATGTAAATAATTGGTTTCACGAATATACTTCTGCATTTAACTCTTCCAATTTTTCATTCGGACTTGATTAGGTTTCCCCTATCTGAAAAACTACAGTATATTTCTATAGCAATAGGATAATAGGCAACTGCAAGACTGATGCGCAAGACCACGACCAAAACTCAGTGCGCAACACCAAGACTCGTCTTGGTCACGCTTTTAGGTAACACTACACTGAATTAATCTCGATCCAATAAAATATCCGCTATTATTGTATTTTATCCAATGTTAGATATCGCTAATATTAGTGTTATTATTGTTTAGAAAAATGACATTTTACGCATGAGGCAGAATAATATACATAAGCACCTCTTTCAGGTTTTGGTTTACTTCTTTTATATTTTTGTTATTAATATTAATAATAAAAACAAAAATAATATCTATATTTTTCTTAGAAACATTGTTTTATGGTGTCGTTACTAACTAGTAAAAATAATAACAATCAAAAATTATATTGACATAATTTTAATAACCATGCTATTGAAAATATTTCTGTATTAATCCATTTTATTGTCTTTTGCCCAGTAATTAAATTGCCTTTCTTTTTTTTTCTATTTTTCTGGTATTTCTAAAACCAAAACAGAAACATTATAGTCCGTGATACAGACCCCTTTTTATAAAATTATTAACATCCGTCTAAAACTACGTAAATAGCTTCATGTCATTGTAATCTACATATATTTTATTTACGAATATTCTCAGATTTGGGGCGTTTTCAATCTGGAGATCGGCAAACTTTGTCAACTTAATTAGGTACTAAAAACGCATGATTACCCATTTGCTTCCACTTTAATCTCAAGATAATATGATCACAAAATAAAAAAAAAAGGGTAGTCTACGACAACATTTGTCACCTAGTTTATATAACCTCATTATTTTGACATTTTAGGGTTGTAGGTCACGCAAAATGTTTTTGTAAGCCATCTTTTTTCGATTTTACTAAAGATAACGGATTATTAACTAAAGATAAAAACAGTGTGTAGAATAATTCGTTTTACATTTTTCTAGGTAAAATATGTATTTGTAGGTGGGATGACTAGTTGATTATTTAAAAAATGACATGTAAAATATAAAAATTGTAGCTATACTAAAAACTTGACAAACTGATGAAAATGATTCACAGCTATAATTTGAAAATTAAATAGTTTGAAGAAAATAAAGTTAAAGAAGAAAAGTTTATTTTTTACTCTTAATCCTTCAAAGCAATTTATATTCTTAGAAACAACGCGAACAAATTACCAATCGCCGTTAATGATGATGATGATTACTGGGGCTTAAAAGCTGTTATGGTTCGATCAATGGAGATTAAACACACTCTCGAGGACAGCCGGTAGCCATATTTTCGTTATTATTTTAGACTCAACCGAGAACAAAGAATGGCGTAATTATCACCAGCTGTTGGTGATTAGTTTTTTTCCCATTACTCGTCTGAGGTTTTTACAAATTGTTACCGTAGGAACAAAAATCGATAATATTATATTAATGATAAAATAATTATTAGTAATAGCCGGTATTAATCTAAGGCAATATATTCGATTAAACATAAAAATAAATATGTATAATCGATTTTAAAACATTTGATATAATTTTATAACAAGGGAAGGGTGTAAATAGAGTATGGGCAAAGAATGTCCTTTTTTTCCTATATAGGAAGTGTAGCAAGATTAAATTATTAGAATAAAAATAGGTCATAATAAAAGATTGCTAAAAATATTGCAGACGATTAAATTTTTTTTTTTTGCATTAAATGGAATTATTTACACTTTACAATGAAGTATATATAAATATACATGATTAAATAATACGAAATAAAATATAGATGGACAAAAAAGAAAGTAAATAAAATAGAATCAACATCTAAAAACCTTTAAAAAACTACAGTGGTAAGTACATTGGTGTTATTAACATCACAAATAGACAATCTAATAAAAATGTGCATGATGTATATATTATTAACATTCCGAAGCCTAGTTTTTAGTTATACGTTACTAAAACGATATTAATAATCATTTTTTTTTCTCTCTTCATACTTCTATCCACACCTGTCATAGAATTGACAATAAGCAGATGTGATCACATAGTGAAGAAAATTGTCATTTAAGGCATGAGGAAGATTAGTACTCAGCAGTAAACCTTCCTGGTCTTGGTCTACTTCATAATTTAAGAAAGGAGATCTCTCATCCAGCTCCTCTTTAATCGTCTCCTGATGGGCATGTCTGCTGTGGCCATATCGTCGATAAGTCCGTTGTGATGTGTAGTTTAAGATGAAATCGTAGAGAGATGAGAGAGTTGAGAGTACGTATGTGTTGATCGATAGTTGGTTGTTGTATGTCGGTATGTAAACGTGTTGTTTACTTACCAGGGAGCAGCTGTTATTAGTCTTAAAATCTTACATTAAACATAACAATAATTATATTAGAATGGTTGTATAACATTATAAATAATTTTACAGCTGGCTATGTGTACTACTAGTTTTTACACTATATTTTTTTAGATATAAGAAAAAGCAGCGTTTTTTCAGATATAAGGAAAAAATCTCTTCATTCTGATACTAATTTCTTAAAGAATAATAGAGCCGCGCATATAAATAAAATACAGAACATGAGTAGATTAGAATAAAAAAACATGAAAGCCACATAAAAAAAAATTAATTGTAGTGAAACAATAAACTATGGAGTAAAAATATAATCACTAAAAAGAATTATTTACTATACCACCTAATGAAAAACATAGAAATTCCGTGATTAAATAATACAAAATAAAATAAAGATTAAAAGAAAAGGTCAAAAGCCTAATTACCATTTGGTTTGAGTAAACAATGTTCATGTCAAAGGCAACTTTCCAAAGAACTTTAAAACTGAGTTTAACTGAGTTTTTTTCATTAAGTTTAATTTGGTCGGAAAGTTCCAATTTCCAATAGATCAATTTGGCAATTTTAAACTTACTTTTATTTGTTTACTTCTCCTTTTTTATTACTTTTTCTTTTACGTTTACATTTCGGGTAATATTTTCTTTAAAACATTCATTTTATGATAAATGTATAAATTATTTCCAACTATATTATATGGCTTCTGTTGTAATTCGTTCTAAAATATTATGTATAATTTAGTATTTATTCTTCGTGCCCGAGAACTTCGTTTCCTTCAGTTTTGTCGTAGTAATTTATTTGAACTGACCAAACATGAACATAAAAATGGATATTCAGTCAACTATAAAGTTATCTTCAGTAAAAGAATTCCTCAGTAAACGGAAGAAATCATTTTTTAAAAACTCTTAGCAGTTGGCTAGCCTCTTTTTTATCAACCTAATTCCTGCTAATATTCCAAAATGTTGACATCAACTACCACAAGATTAAAGATATTTTTTTTTTTTAAATTTAGTTGTACGAGTTAGATTTTAAGGTACATTCAAGTCAGAGCCCCATCACCAATATATACCAGATTTATATGAAACGAAAATACATACATCTATAAAACATACCTTACAATGCTTTTAGCAGTATGAGGATAAAGTGGATAGTAAAATTTACCAGATCACAAGAAAAATATAAAAGAGGCGGATACGATAGAAAAAGAAGTAAAAAAAGAACTAAGGTATTACAACGAAGAAATAATAATAAAAATTGAAGCTTATGTCAAATTTACACAACTTCTATGGTACTGCAATCATCAAAGTAATCTATAATAAACTTAATTTTAATGCATATTTTTATTCTTTTGAAATATCAGTAAACTCATATAAATTTTATTTTCTTCTTTGAAGTAGATAATAAAAATATAAGAAAACTCTAAGCAATACTGGAAAACAACATTTCCAACAAAAAATAAAAAAAGATAAAAACTAAAGAAGAGATAAAAACTAAAATAAGAACACTAATGACTCAAAAAAACAACATAACCTCAATTTGATTTGTATCTTTCTTTTATTCCTATATTTTACTTAGAATTATTACTATATTACTTTTATTTTAAACATTATTCAAACGTATTTAATTTTTTTCACTAAAGGAAGTGCACAATTAATCCTTATTACCTATTATTTTCAGAGATTGCCATATTGGTTATGAATTACAACCATTATAACTGATTATAACTTAGAATCAAGTTCTCAAAAAAAAATATATATGAGGTCTTTATAAATTGATGTGTATAGATATGTAACACATATCTATGATTTATCATATGGATATAGAAATAGAAATAGAAAAATCATCTTTATTCTGGGACTAGGTCCCTTTAGAATAACAGTATTGTACATATATATTAACTACAAATCTGGTCAAAAGACTTATTACAATGAATAATGACAAAATACATGTAATACATTAAGTATTAATTAACGAGGACAGTTTGGTAATAGGGATTCAGTACTACAATATTGGAGCTAAAATAATTGCATAATAATCACTGAATGAAATTATAAAGGAAAGTACAATCTATTTTATAGGTAAATCATTGTAGTGATGGAATATAAAAATTTAAAAAAATAATAATAGCTGTTAATATGTAGGGAAAGAAATTGTAAAAACTAAAACAAAAAAATATATAAAAAAACAAATAATGATATACATATGT